TTTCGTGTAGCATATAGCTCGGCCTTGAGGACAATGACATCCACAACACAACACCATGATATTTCATCATAATGCTGAGACAATGGCACCTGCGCAGAAAGCATCAACATTATCTGGTGAATATGATTGTAAATACGAGCTCACAAAGGGCACGAGTACGAAACAAGGTGGTGTTGCAAATGTGTGTGAAGTTGTAGATCATGAACCTCAAGGATTTAAGTGCGGAAGACAGATAAAACTGTCTGATGATTGTTTTAGTGTGGATATATGTCTTGATGTCAGGGGCAGATCCGCAGTTGGTCATGGGTGTACAGATGTACACTAAAAAAATTTGGCTAGAAACTTTTATACATAGTGTATACTTTAAGACTTTGAGCCCCCAAATGACCTTTTTCGCTAGTGCCATGGCATCACGGCTGTTACCTATAGCACGAGTTACACAACAGCCTACACCTACGCATGTCACCAGCACATATAAAAAAATTGACAAAAAGATTGTAAGGGAGTTTAATTGGTGCAATAAACCCAAATTACAAGTACCATGCATTAAAGGTGGGAAGGCATCGACCCCTTTCCACCACTAGGCTATGCCTTAGTTTGCACCGGCAATTAGCATTCTTCTTGCTCATTGTATTTAGATGCATTGTATAATAATGGCTATGTGATCCCCAAATGTATGATTATGTAGTAAATACTCTGTATTTCTTTCGTCATTTCTATAAGGTATTGTCATTTTGATGAAGAATTAAGTCACCAGTGCATGAACATTTTAGATATTAGATCAAAAAATTAAACCCACAATTTTTTTGAACAGCCAAGCATGAAATCTTGGATCCGCCATAGCTTGATATGATGGTAAATCAGTGGTGAAATAAGGTACAAACTGGATGTTCGACGAATGACATGATTTTATTACTTATAATCTGTTGAGTCGCTAATCATCAAGGTGGGGGTGCCCACGTGGCTCAAGTGGAGTTGTGTGATGGGTTTGATCCCGCATGGAGAATCAGAGGAAGAGAGTTTGACCAGCGTATATATGCCCTTGTGATCCAAACACACTGTCAGGCCTGTTAACTGTTGCGGGTCACCTGACGAGGCACAGTGCCTTTGCGTTTTGCCTGGATGCGTGTCAGCCGTCGAATTGCGATCCAACGGCGATTGGAAGAACTTACCGCTTCGCTGCTGAGAGGCGCCCTCAACTGTTGATCTCCATCTAGACGGCTCAGATCATTGTAACTTACTTTTAAAAGTTACCGCGTTTACTTTTACCTGTCGGACATGTCGCTTTTCTACTTTTGCTCTGAATTTCTCTTTATAAACCCTCCTCCGGCTTGTGGAGAGGGCATTCAGGATTATTCTAGGCTTGGCCCTTGTAGCCGCCGTGTTCCGGCTGGCGAAAACCCTAGCTACCTTGCTTCATATCTGAACGAATCGATCTCAAAATTCCCCACAAATTGTCTGTTTTCCTCTGTTCATGTGAGAAATTCAGTGATAGCCACCTCTAGGGCCTGCCAAGTGGTATACAAAGCGTAGGTTGTAGTCCTTGGAGGCGAGAATTGAGCCCCAGATCCAATCTGGGATCCGATCTGGTGTGGCGGCGGTGGATAGATCGGCAGCAGAAAGGTGGAGTAGTGGTTTCTGAAGAAAAATTCTTCAGTGCAAAATCCCACCCAACCCTCCCTTTCAGTGATGTTTGCTCCGGCGACGCGGTTCTCCTACGAACTGATGGGCGATTGGTTGCCGGGTGACCGGTGTAAAATTCCTTCCGTTTCCCTCGCTAATTCGTCCTTGGACCGGATCTACAAGTAATGACCAACAAAAACCCTGACGAAATGGCAGGTGAGACGCAAGATACTGAGTGTTTGGAGCTCGAATCTCTGCAACTTGACATCAAAACACTCCGGCAAGAATGAGAAGAAGATAGAAAGGAATTTTATCATTTCACAGATTCGGTGAACAAGAACTTTGCCAGCATACAAAAGAATTTCAAGAAAATTCAAACCACCTTGCTGAAGTTAACTGCAGAACAGTCAGTGGAAGAAGATGAGGAGGAAGAAAGGTCTGACCCGTTATCAGGGCAGGGAAGCACTGTTGTTCCTCCAGGGAGGCCAAAGCAACTGCCTAACAATCAATTTCCCACTGAAAAACATGACCCTGCAACTGTGGGATCGGCTGTTCTGGTGGACAAAGCAACGGGCAAAGAACTGAATATGGATGGCACTCCAAAGGGTCCCTATAGACACCCAAGTCATACTGCTAACAAGCAGGAATTCCACACTCCTCAACAACAACAAGGTCTGGTCACAAAACACTTCATGACAGTGGAGGAACTACCTGAAGCAGAGGTTAGAAGGGAAAGAAACAAACCTTATACATCTGAAGTCAGAAGAAACCTCCTGTGTATCAAACCCGCAAAGTTAAACATTGCTGAATTTGATGGAGTAGATGCAGACTCATGGATACAGAACATTGAACAATATTTTTCAGCTGCAAGAACTCCCATTGAGCAAAGAACTGAGATAGCAGTTTCTTATTTAAAAGGAGAAGCTATACAATGGTGGAGAGGTATTGGGTTCATTGCTTGTCATACTCCTTGGCACAAGTTCTGCACTGCAATCACACAAAGATTTGCAATAACATCTATGTGTGAAAATGTGAAAGCATTCCACAAGTTAACTCAGCAAACTTCAGTTGCTCAGTATATGGCAGAGTTTGAGCAACATATGAACTTAATGAGGAGGGACAATCCTGCAGTACCAGATGACTACTACATGCATAGTTTCATTGCAGATCTAAACCCTTATATCCAAAGTCACCTGGAATGTTTAGAACCTACTGACATGACCAAAGCTATGTGGTTAGCTAGAAGAATTGAAAAATCTTGTCCTCCTGCTACTACACAAAATCCCTATGTGCCAAACTACAGAAGAGGAACTCCAGGGGAAATTTCTAAACCTGTAATTTCTGCAAGTACATCTCCTGCTGCTGTTCTACAACAAGCTAGAGAAAAGGGCATTTGTTATAAATGCAGAGAACCATGGTTCCCAGGGCACAAGCAGGTGTGCAAGATGTCACAAAAAGCTCAAATTCAAGCACTGCAAGGGCAAGTTGAAAATCCTGACATTATCTACATAGTAGATGCAGAGTAGGTACAATCAGATGTGGATGAAGAAACCCCTGATAACCAAGAGCTCAAAATTTCAATGCATGCAGCTACAGGAGTTCCTGAAGATAAAAAACACACACTGTTACTCTACAAGTCCAAATTGGAAATATAGTGGGCCTTGCTTTAGTGGATAGTGGAAGAACTACTACTTTCATTTCCCCTGCTCTAGCTTTCCAATCTGGATGCCCTGCCACACTAGTAAAACAAGTTCAAGTGACTGTAGCAAATGGGGGAAAATTATACAGTGATTTTTCTCTCTACAACACCAAATACAACATCCAAGGAGTGGAATTGGTGTCTGATTTTAGGATGTTGAAACTCACTAGATATGATATCATACTTGGAGCTGACTGGATGTATAAGCACAGCCCTGTCACATTTGATTTGCCTAACATGAAGTTGGGAATCAAACAACCCAATGGAAAACAGATCACCTTCCTGGATGAGAGCTTGCCAACCAGCCCCTGCACTCCTCTGCTGCAAGATATGGAAAATATATTGGATGACATGCTCACTGGAGCTCTAATGTGGATGCAACTAGTGCAAGTGGAAACCATAAATGACTCTGTGCAAAAACCTGGAATAACTACAATCCTAGAGAACTTCAAAGATGATTTTGCAGAGCCTACTGGTCTACCTCCTCAGAGAGATTGTGACCATGCAATCAACCTAGAACCTGGAGCTCAGTTCTAAATCAGAGAGGATATAGGTTGCCACATCACCAGAAAAATGCTTTAGAGGAAATCATTAAAGACCTTCTCCAAAAAGGGATTATAAGATTAAGTCACAGTCCATACTCCTCTCCTGCTATCTTGGTGAAGAAAAAGGACCTGACTTGGAGGTTATGCATTGACTATAGAAAACTTAATGCACACACAATCAAGAACAAGTATCCTATACCCATGATAGAGGATCTTTTGGATGAACTTAATGGAGCAAAAATCTTCACCAAACTGGACCTCAGAAGTGGTTATCATCAAATCAGAATGAAAGAAGGAGATATAGAGAAAACTGCTTTTAGAACACACATTGGTCTGTTTGAGTTCCTGGTAATGCCCTTTGGAGTGACAAATGGCCCTCCTACCTTTACGGAACTTATGCATACTGTATTGGGGCCCCTTCTGAGACACTGTGTGCTAGTTTTCTTTGATGATATCCTCATCTTTAGTAAAACTTACAAGGAACATTTGGAACATGTGGCCCTGGTATTGGAAGCACTCAGGAAACATCAATTATATGCAAAGCTCTCTAAGTGCACATTTGCACAAAACAAAGTGGAGTATTTGGGATATGTGATCACTGACAAGGGAGTATCCACAGACCCTGGTACAGTAGAAGCAATCATAAACTGGCCAACACCTCAGAATGTGACACACTTGAGAAGTTTTTTGGGATTAGCTGGGTACTACAGGAGGTTTGTTCAGAATTATGGATTGATTTGCAAGCCACTGTTTGAAGCATTGAAAAAGGAAGGATTTCAATGGACTAACACACAAATGGCTGCTTTCCAGCAATTAAAGGACAGAATGACTTCTGCCCCAGTCCTTGCTTTACCTGATTTTTCCTTGCCCTTTGTTTTAGAAGCTGATGCTTCTGGATATGGAATTGGAGTGGTACTAATGCAAAAAGGACAACCTATTGCATATATGAGCAAAGCCCTAGGCCCTAAAGCTGCTGGTTGGTCCACCTGTGATAAAGAGGCACTGGCAATCATTGAAGCAATTAAGAAATGGAGACATTACTTTGCTTCATCCTCTCTGATTATCAGAACTAACCAACAGAGTTTGAAATACATACAAGAGCAAAAAGTAACTGAAGGGATCTAGCACAAACTTCTCATTAAATTAATGGGTTACAAATTCAAAGTGGAATACAAGAAAGGCAAGGAAAATAGAGTAGCTGATGCTCTTTCCAGAGTTAAATATGCTCTAAATACTTTGGGCTCTAGTACTGCAATTCCATCTTGGATTACTGAAGTTTTGAACAATTACAAGGGTGACACTAAATGTTCTGATTTAATTGCTAAACTAGCAATAGATCCAGCTGCCCAGCCTCCATACACTCTTACCAGTGGAGTGCTCAGGTATAAGGGGAAAATCATGATTGGCAACAACAATGCACTGAAAAATTCCTTGCTCACTTATTTTCACAAGTCTGAATTAGGAGGACACTCTGGGAAAGAGCAACTTATCACAGATTGAAAATCCTCTTCACATGGCCTGGAATGAGGAAAGCTGTGCAAACTTTTGTTCAGCAATGCCCTGTCTGTCAGCTGAACAAAGCTCAACATGTGCATCCTCCTGGCTTGTTACAACCACTTCCAGTTCCAGATTTTGCTTGGACCCACATTAGCATGGACTTTGTGGAAGGGTTGCCCAAATCTGAACACGAGGACATGATCCTAGTGGTGGTTGATCGTTTCACCAAATATGCTCATTTTGTTGCTATGAGACACCCCATTACTGTAAAGACAGTAGCACAAGCTTTCACTGACAACATATTCAGATTACATGGCCTGCCCATTGTCATAGTGACAGACAGAGATAGCATATTTACTATTCATCTCTGGCAGCATTTGTTCAACAAAATGGGAGTCAAATTACACATGAGTACTTCCTACCAACCCCAATCAGATGGTCAAACAGAGAGAGTGAACCAGTGTCTGGAAAACTACTTAAGATGCATGACTTTTTCACATCCCAAGAAATGGCATACTTGGCTTTCCATGGCTGAATGGTGGTACAACACCACATTCCACACATATCTTAAAATGACCCCTTTTCAAGCTCTGTATGCAAGACCTCCTCCCCTGATTGCATAATTGATGTTACCACCAGTGGAAGGAGAAGATAACCAAGCTCAACTGGACAGGGATATAATTGCCCAACAAATTAAGGACAACTTGCTCAAAGCACAAGAAAGGATGAAGTTTTTGCAGACAAGAAGATATCTGAGAGACAACTTGCAGTTGGGGACATGGTTTATATCAAATTGCAACCATATAGGCACACCAGCTTGAGTATACACATACATCTAAAACTTCATTCCAAGTACTATGGCCCTTTTAGAGTAATGGAGAGAATTGGAGTTGTGGCTTATCGGCTCCTCCTGCCTGAGGGTTGTCAACTTCACCCCACTTTTCATGTCAGCCAACTCAAGAAGCACATTGGCCTTGAAGCTGTACCTAACCCAGGGTCACATTCTCATTCAGCCTGAAGCACTGCTTGAAAGAAGACTGATTCCACAAGTCCAGGGAGACATTAGCATTCCAGTGGTGCAGTGGCGTATCAAGTGGATCAATCTGCCAGTGGAAAATGCAACCTGGGAATGCGGCTTTCATTCAGAAGATCTTCCCTGAATTCCATCCTTGAGGGCAAGTCTGTTGTTAGACGGGGGCAATTGTCAGGCCTGTTAACTGTTGCGGGTCACCTGACGAGGCACAGTGCCTTTGCGTTTTGCCTGGATGCGTGTCAGCCGTCGAATTGCGATCCAACGGCGATTGGAAGAACTTACCGCTTCGCTGCTGAGAGGCACCCTCAACTGTTGATCTCCATCTGGATGGCTCAGATCATTATAACTTACTTTTAAAAGTTACCGCGTTTACTTTTACCTGTCGAACATGTCGCTTTCTACTTTTGCTCTGAATTTCTCTTTATAAACCCTCATCCGGCTTGTGGAGAGGGCATTCGGGATTATTCCGGGCTTGGCCCTTGTAGCCGCCGTGTTCCGGCTGGCCAAAACCCTAGCTACCTTGCTTCAGATCTGAACAAATCGATCTCAAAATTCCACACAAATTGTCTGTTTTCCTCTGTTCATGTGAGAAATTCAGCGACAGCCACCTCTAGGGCCTGTCACACACTCCCTCCTTTTGGGTTTAGATAGGTCAAGCAATGGGTTTTATGTCTTCGATTTGACTAATATAAAAATATGTATGATAAGCCACAAAAATTATATGGCTAGAAATTTCATTTGACGATGAATCTAAAGATATATTTTTCATAAAATATAAAACATGTTTTGTAGTCAAATTGAAGACCTAAAATCGTGTGTCAAACTTATAAACCCAATCAGAGGGAGTAGGATCTCCAAGTCGACCCTTCTACAAGCGAAAACGGAAGTTTAATACAGATACTATGTACCACCCACAGATGGGTTGGACTTTGAGCAAATGAAGAGAGGGCGTTCCATGTGGTATTCGCTCGGATGGGTTGGACTTGGGCATCAAGCGGATTCAGGCCAGGGTGTTAGTGTTACACAATGAAACAAAAACCACTTGACCTAGACCAACCACCAAGCGCACCCCGATGCTAACAGATTATGCAGTCAGTACACAGCAATACAGCTCCAACGTTTACGCTTTTAATTCCCTTTCAAAGTTGATTTAATGCTATTTGTCATACTGTCATACTGAGGATATGCTTTTTTCCATGGTAAGTACAAGCTACATGACATCGTTGGCGCCTCCCGTTGCATCATTCATAACAAAACTGTATACTTGCCACTAGTGCCAATCTAACATGATTAATCATAAGACTAAAACCATATCTTTTAAGTTATAGATGCATGGACTGGACAAAACATGAAAGCCCGCAGGGGGGTGACCGTGCTTTGATCACTTGGTTGAGACAACAACATCGTCGACGACTGACTTGACTGGTCACCAGGCTGGCTAGTAGCCTCCTTCGGCATGGGATGCCCGGTTACCGCATCCCACTTCTAGGTTTTGAGCTCGAGATAGACTCGATGATCCTGTACATCCACCGGTCAAGCATTCCTGTACCACGAAGGCAGAAAAGTCGATGCCAATTAGAAGAAGGGAAAACTTTGTTTTTGCCACTCTAGATTTTGCCAATTTTGCTGTTTGTTCATGTAACGTGCAGATCATCGTGTGTGCAACTCGGAAAATCATGCGACAGAAGTATTACTGAAGCCAATCCTAACACCAGCATAAGATAAAAAGCACAATCATGTAGTGCTGGATGCAAACCTGTCATTGCAAATGTACCCCCAAGAACTGCACAAAGGCGAGTTATGAAATGTAGGAAGTTACGTCTTTCTTCTCTGATGGTGACTGTGATTGGTGAGAGATCATACAGGAAGTAAACGGCTGCAAAAGGAAAACAGATTAGGCCTAAAACCAGATGAGCATACCATACTTCGAGAGCAAGATGGGGAGGGGGGTTACCTGGCCAGGACCTATCAGTTGGGCGAATGGGAACAAAATACTCTGTCACGGAAAACTGATTTGTTGGCAACACTCCCTTTGAGAGGTATCTGTACTCGGTTGGAACAACCTGCATATATCAATCAAATATGAATAACAGATGGCAACATTGTCTCCCACAAAAAGCAACTGATTGCAGAGAATATCAAGTGTTAGATTTCCATCTGGGGTGCAGATGATCTTTTCGTTGATCTGGTGTACAAGTCAGATCCAGTCAACCAACTTCATATAGGTTGACAGGAAAAAGGAAGACTTCCTTTTGGCCTGCTGATGACTTCGCATAAAAAGGATATTTGTACAATTTTATTTCATCGATATATTCTCTTCAGCAGGGGCCTTATTTATTATTTCCCCTAAATGTTGCAACCACAAGCTGCCGTCTGAACATTATTGACAACAATGGGGAAACTACTGAATGAATGGCTACTAACCTTGATATAGTATTTGAATGTCCCACTTGTGTCGTGCAGTATCCTTGAAGTATCATCAAGTGGATTATGAATTCCAGGGTATTCTGGACCAAAGGACAGTCGATGGATAACATGGCTAACATTGACATGGCTTGACCCATCAAAAATCTGCATGCACCAGATGAATAAAAATCATCTATAGGAAATGATCAGCTGGAAGCTGAAGGACAGTGCAATGAAAAGATTCAGGAATATATACAGAAAGCACAGGGAGAGCATTCTCAGCACCAAGACTTAAGAGAAGAAAACAAAGACCGTGTGTGAACATTTAAAGATCAAAATGAACAACAACGATTTGTTTCATTAGAAGAAAAATCACTTACATAAAGAAATGTAAACAGACCTCAAGGAAAATCGATCCATTCTAACTTATCATCAGAATATACCAATGAAAGGCCCATGTGAAATACCATATGATGCCACTGGCAAAATTACCATGAGATTGAGAACGCCCTGTTTCAGTGATTTCTGTAGGGATTTAGATGCCTAATTCCCTATATGACTATACCTAGCCACAGTTCGGATATATGCTCAACTAAAAACTTAAATGATACCTTATGAAGAAAATGTAAGTAATTGTCTCAGTTTCATACATTACGAATTAGCTAGTTTCCTAAAAGCTTAAATACTTCACAACAGAAAATATACAGTTTGAAGAACAGCACTAAAGTATCTGCAGTTTTAGATGAATAACCTGATTTGCAACAAAAATATTTAAACCATGCACCGATATATGGAAGTTGCCAGCAACCCTCTGCACGTCCAAAGCACCATACACCTGTAAAGTTGAAGCCAAAAACTCGTTAAAAACACCAGAATATACTTGATGACCACAGCACTAATATCATTAGTAAAATGAACTAATACTGGTGGAGAAAAAACTTACTCGGCATCCTTCGCCATTTTCCATTGCAAGTTTGACACTCTTAATCATTTTATCTGCATCTTCATTGAAGGTGTGCTCAGGCTTCTTTTCTACATCATGCTCATGGCCATGGTCTGATTTAAACTTTAATGCATCAGCATATTACATGCAGAACAACTAAACACAAAAATAATCTTACAACAAGCCAATTTTCCAGAAGGAAAAAAGAACAACACCTACCACATTGAGAACGCATAAAACCCAGGAAGTACTTATTTAATAATCTAGAAAGCAATTAGCTTTGTGATTTTATCAAAATCGGAATGAACAAAGAAGTAAGCCGACAAGCTGCAACTACTAAGTACAGGACACAGTTGACTGCTCATTTTGGTCCTGTGTGAAACTATGTCTGATGCCCTAGTTCTACCAATGATAACCTGAGAGAGAGAGATCATTGCAGAAATCATTTCTCCATTTGTTGGTATATCTTTGATCTTTCCAGTACATGGTCATGTGTACAGTATAGCGGCAAAGCCCAGAACTATACAGAGATACTACTATTCCCATGTTTGGGTTTCTTCCAGCACACATCAAATATTCTAGGCTTCTAGTTAAATCATGTGTTGGCAACAAATAAAATTTCTAACTACACAACATGTTTGCCGATCAAATTAATCAATGTTGTTGTATTGACATTTTTTCATCATAAACAAGACTGGTGAGCGATAATCCATTCTTCCATTTCAATTATATACTTTAGTGACCTATAAAAAGTCTTATATTTCTTTTCAGAGGTAGTACTTCCAAATTATAATACAAAGGATAATAACTATAACAGAAAATAACGATTAGCAGCCGCCACGGTTTTTATATAGTGAGGAAAAAGGACGCATAATATGGATTGAAAAGGAGACTCTTTTGTATGGCAACTTAGTACTAGTGCTACGTTTGGTTTTCCTTTTATAGAGGAAACAGAATATACCATGATCATGAGTTCCATGCTCCTTTTCAACTAGATCAGACAAGTACTCAGTACCAATGATATGGCCATACTTATCCAAACGAAGCTGCATACATCAGAAAAAGGAGGATGCAAAGTATAATTAGACATGACAGACATATACTGAATAGTTAAAAAATGCACCATTTAAAGAAACTACAATGCAACTTTACTGAGAAAATATATTTGGAAGTATGAAGAACATTGTCAGCACAAGAGCAAGACATGAACCACAGCTTAAAGTGCATGTTCCCTACAACCTACACTAACCTAGGAAAACAACTGGCCAAAATAAGCTAGCGTATGGGCCTGCTTCGCGGATGGTAGGAAACTAGGAATGTGCATTTACATAATGTTTCTCAATCACAAGCAATAGACATAACTATTAATTATTACTGCAGCTAGTGTCATAGTAGAGCATACATGCATATGCATCCGATACCATATTGAATTGCATCCACTGAAATTAACAAAATTTTGATATCAGATGGTACCTTCCAGATATTTGTATGCAAGTCAACCTCATGTTTGCCGGACATGTCGATTGCATCCACACTCAAGACTGTATGACAACAGAAGATAGTGAAATAAATATCAAAAGCATGAACCTTAAGCAAAGGGATCTCCAAATGGAACCTTGTACAAAAAACTGATACTGGATATATTTAATCAATAACTGACCTTCACATGGTAAAGAAGGAAATGATACATTTATATGAATTGGTAGAGTTTCTCCTCGTTTCAGATCTACAGACATCTGCAGACATTGAAAAGAAAAACTTGAGACAGGTTCATGATCTTAATGCTGGTAGCCAAAACAAGGCAAATAAAACTATCATGTTCAAATGAGTTTTCCATGATATGAAAATAACAACTACCAAATTATTTTATATAAATGTAATTGATCGGTTCGATTCATAGGCATCCTTTGTCATCATGAGAATTCCTTGGCCAGATTGGTTTTGTATGTCGAAGTGAATAAACTTAAACAGGAGAAATATCTATCATCCACAGGCATATTCCCAACACAAACTACAATCATAAATGTTGGGGAAGAATGGACAGAACAGCATAGACATCACAATAAGCTGCATATGCTAGTCATACAAGAAAAGGTCAACGAGAACGAAACGTACCTGATGCATCGTATAGGTTGTAAGGTAAAACGTGAGCTCATGCGCGAAAAGTGTAACCATAACAATTAGCCCGAGAATCGTCACTGCCAACATATATCAACGATGACGCGAATTAAACACAAATCTCCAAAAACATAAGCATCCATTAGCAGAGAACAACAGTTCACGAAGCAGCATAATCTATGTACCTATAGCACCCGAGTAAGTCTTCTTCAGCAGGTGGTCTTCGGCGTGCGGGAACGCATTGAAGTTCTTCAGAGACGGTATCCTCCCCATCTTTGCAGCTGTGGCACAAAAGCATACCAACCTCAGTCAGACGCCACAGCAAGCGGCAGCACAAAATCTAGCGGAAGACTCCAGATTTGACGGGAATTCTCCATGAACAAGCACTCCTAGTCCTAAGAAGACGGCGATTCTTCAAATATACAACAGACCGGTACCAAATTCTCCCCTACGAAGCGTCCGGCGGAGAGGCCCCGACGACTCGGCCGCGGGGCGCGAGGGCAGGAGGCAAGCTCCGTCGGATTTAAGCCGGCTGATGGCAACCCTCCCCCAGATCGGACGGAAGGAACGGGCGGGCGAGATGAGTTGCTCACCGGGAAGGGGGGCCGGAAGGCAGTGACGCGCTAGTGGATTCGTCTGCGGCGCAGGCGGCGGCTCTGGATCTCACGGCGATCTCGTCGCCTTAGGACACCGTGCCGATGCCGGAGGCGGAGGCGGAGACGGAGCAGGTCGGAGACACCAGAACCGAAACCCAACGACCCGAGACTAGTATCTTCTCCGCGTGCCCAGGTAGGACCCGTCGGCCGGCCGGCCCAACCCAGCCCAGCCCTAGACCCAGGCCCGTCTGGGCTATTACGGCCCATCTTAGAAAACAAATCGGGCTCTGTTGCTGGCCAGCCCACCAGGCTGCCTGGCATCGCCACCGGCCGCTCATCGATTGCATTCCGCAGTTGGACGACGGCAGCACACTCTGCTTCTCACTGACGCCGCCGGCCACGCCTCTCCCCCTCCGAGCGCCGCTCTGCTCGCCGCCGCCGTCGCCGCCTACGAGCTGCGGCTCCTGCCCCCACTGCGCGCTGCAGGTACGCCACGCTGTTTTACCCCCGGCGACTTTCTCCTCGTCCTAGATCCGCCTCCACTCCCGTCGTCCCCGGCTCTCGCTGTAATTGTGATTGGATGTCTCCAGAGCTCGCGCGGACGGGTTCGGCGTGATGGGGGACGACGGGGCGGAAGGGGAGGCGCCGCGCTGCGTCGGCTGCGGCCGGCGCGTGAGGACGCTCTTCGTGCAGTACTCCGCAGGCAACATCCGTTTGATGAAATGCGTAAGAGCCCAGCCCCCTCCCGCCGCATCGTCAGCGTCGCCCTTTTGCCTCCTGCGTGCAAGCCGGCTTTAACCCTGGATGCTGTTCGTGTGCAGGATGTCTGCAAGGCTGTCGCCGATCCCTACATCGAGTGTGAATTCATGGTATGGTATGGTATGATGATCAATGGTGCATGGGTTCAAACTGTTGCCATATGTGTGATTTGACCGTAGGGGTGCAAGTGGCGCGCTGCTTATGTAGTCCTAAATCGGCCAAATCAGTTGCAGCTTTAGTTTTGATGGGGTTAGCTCACTTTATAGTGGCTGATCAATTTGGCGGCTTATGCGTGTGCGCCGCTTGCATCCTTATTGGGCCGTTTTCCTATGCCCGGGACACCTATTTATTGCATGCCTGATGCGCTGCGTGGCCTTAACTCTTACTCTTCTTACCCCGCTGTAGATTATCTTGATCGATCTGATTCTACACAAGACCAGGGCATACCGACATCTACTGTTCAATAAGCTGCACATTGGTTCATCTATTGACAAGGTGCGAATCTTATGGTACCATGCAACCTCAAACAAGTGCTGTTCCGCCTTTTCAAACTCCCTAAGGCCGACTCAGCTCGTAAAACGTTCTGCGCCACATATTTCTTTTTTCCTGAGCTTTTAATAGATACTAATGCTATAAGCATGTAGAGCAGTTAAGTTATAGATGTGATGCTTTTTGTTGCTATCATCATTTGAGTTAAACTATGCAGTTTACTCAGTGTGTACTCTATCTAAATATGGAAGCTGAATTGCTTGGATGCTCCTCTTTTGCATTAATAGCACAAGTATTTCATTTTCCATATCTACTTTGAAGCAGCAAAGGGTGATAACAATTAGCAATTTAGCACCATCAATACTTTCCTATAGTTTTACAATTTACTCTATACTTCCTATGAGTCCTGATGCTTGAGAATTTGAAGTTTCATCTATCATAAATCTGCTCCTCTTTTGCATTAATATCACAAGTACTTCATTTGCCATATATACTTTACTCATTTTACTCAACAAAGGGTGATAACAGTTACCAATTTATCATCATCAACACTTTCCTAGTTTCATGATTTACTCAATACTTCCTATGAGTCCCGATGCTTGAGAATTTGAAGTTTCATCTGTCCTAGATCTGCCTGTTATTTTTCTTGTTAATATTGTTCCTGTATCATACGACACCTTCAGCCTTTTATGCCTTGGCAGTCCATCCAACAAGAGCATATAATCTGATGACATGGAAAATATAGTTATCTATTCATAATTCATCTAAGTTCAAACTTCATCTTGGCACTCATATTGTAATAATTTCTGCCTTCGTATACTTTTTCCTCACTCATAAGTCATACTATGTTGCTTTCTGCCTTCCGCAACTATATTCAGTGGCCAAGTCCAAATATGCCTTTTCTCTTATGTCTCTTGTTTTGGTTTTGTTTGCAGGGAATACTGTGCCAGTTCATTCTGATGCATATCGTTCTTGACGCTTGTATCCATTTTCATTTATAAATTTTTTATTTTAATTCTGGTAGTTTCCAACATTCAACCTAAGCTGCCCATAACTATGTAGTCAGAATATCAGTTTCAAAAAGCAACAAAGTTGATGGGGATTCTTCCAGGAGCACATTGTCCACAATTTGCAATTGCAGCGAGGTGATTAAAGTTGACTGCATTCAGATAACAAATGTTTCCACTTCTCATCAACTAAGCAGTGTATTGGGTGTTCTGCTTTTCTTCAGGTTCTGGGTGATGCATTGTTAGGGAACATCATATTTACGGCCATGTTACTCCTGGGAGTACGATATATCCTCAAATTTTCTTTTGACATTACAAGGTATCGTTGTATGCGTGTATCCTTTTTAAAATATCTGAATACCTCTGAGGTGGTACTTTTCAGTTCTCATAATAAAATTATCGTTCCTAGTAAATACACCTGTTGTTATTTCATTCTGTGTGAAGTGTTGTCAATGTACTCCCTCCGTAAACTAATATAAGAGTGTTTAGATCACTACTTTAGTGATCTAAACGCTCTTATATTAGTTTACAGAGGGAGTGTCATTTATCCAGTAGGAATTCTGTAATAGTAGTACATTTCTATCTTCGAAGAGGATGAGATCATATAAGAGTTTACTGTTGGGCCTCCCCTACAGTTTTCGTATGACAAAAAGAGGGTTAAATCATGTCATAGTTCTACATCTGTTTGTTATACTTGGCTCACTGTTGCATTCTTCATTACTCAGGTATCGAGAGATTCTGTTAGCCGTCATCATTTCAAGCTATTTCAAGTTATTTCTTCTGACAATGATGGTATAGAAGAATCTTATGTCGACGATTTCCTGTGAATTTATCTATCAAATGTTTTCTTTCTAGCTGATTACTGAATTTGCAGGTTTGGGAGTTCCCATCATCTGCTATATTCATTGTCGAAACATTTGTTCTCTCATCAAATGTTGTAGCCCTGAGAGGTAAGCACTGCTCATTTCTCTCATGAGTTTTTTGTTACCCTTTCTATGTGTACTTTCTTAGTCTTCACATTTTCTAGCTATTAGGATTCTTCCACATCAATAAGAATGTAAGATTCATGGTTGTTGAGCACAAATTAACATATAAATAATCAATAAGAATGTAAGATTCATGGTTGTTGAGCACAAATCAACATATGAATAAACATCTAGTTATGCCATTTATAAGAAGTAGCTGTGGCAGTATTTGAACATTTATAAGATGGTTGTATTAAAGAGGCATCTATGTGGTGACCATCTCCTGCGACTGGACCAGACAGATGCCCCAAGCTCTGCAGCACATGATTGAGTTGTGTCACATTCTCATTGTATCCTACGGAATTGATTGATAGATCTAGGCCTCAGCTTGATCATGCCCAACTTCTAGAATTTCTCAAAGCGCCACCTTCAATGCAGAGCGCCTGTCAATACATGCTTGGTATATGCGTGCACAGGTGTACTAGATTTGTTGGTTTGCTCTAGCTTTCAGTACTGAATGCGGCGAGAGACGACGGATTGTACTGAAACTGAAACTGGTTAATTTCCTTTCAATGTTTGTAGTTCAAATTTCTTCCCATTCCTACTACTATATAACACTGAAAAGGACCCAAGCCCACTGTATTCTCTAACAGATCACAATGCTGTGAAGACTGAATGTCCTGCTGTTTTTTTCAGTGGTGACGCGGTTCCCAAAGGCCCACTGTGTTGGTGTCTGCTTCATGGCGCACGCGGCAAAGCACTTGACGGAACGGTGGCTCATGTGGACACCATGAACATGAATTCATCAAGACTTGCCACCGCCTTACTCCAAGGTAAGTGGCCTCCAGATTTACCCTGTTTCACTCCATCTATGCATACTGTGCAGCGTTCATGATCTCGCTCCTATGGCAGCGGATGTACTCATTTGCGACAATCTGATTGACCGTCCTTGCAGTGTTCGTGCAGCATTGATCTGGACCACGCCGGAACTGGAGAGCGGGGAGCTGTCCTGCTGGCCTCTGTACCGTGGCGCTGCAGGTTGAGCGGCGTCTCCGGTCAGCATATGCCTGAGCTAGTGAAGAGGCAGGCGGTCTGGGGAGATGGGCTGTCTGTTTCGCCTACTTATGGCCCAAGTAGGAGTAGGTACTTGCCCTGTTCGTTCACGCCCGGAAGTGCGTCAGCTGACAGGGCCTCTCTACCTTGTGACCACACGTGCAAAACGCACAGTCCAGTGTCTGTATGTTTGTATGTCTCGTTCTTTTTCAGTTTGGTTTTATTTACATCCGTTGTAGAAAAAAAAAAAGAGCTTCCGGGTCGACGCACTTCCGTAGGATTACTCTGCTTTTTCCAGGGACAAAATTTGGTTTCCGGGTTTCCACGGTTACTTTCTTCACTGACGTTTGTGTGTTCCTAGAGTTGCTGAGCGTTTCCGAGGATGCGTATGCATTTTTGAGTCGAGCGTTCAGGGTCAATGCTTATGTATTTTTGAGTTGAGTGTTGAGGGTAGACGCGCCATCGACAAGCAAGCACTGTACACTCTTCTCTAGTGCCCTGTTCATAGCTTTGGAAGGCTTAGATCATCTACAATAGAAGATGTAGATGCAAAAATAACTAATTTTTGAATATCTGAGGCCCCAAAACCCCTTTTTCAACAAATAATGTAGATGAAAAAAATTACATCTTCCGAAAATGTAAAATACAACACCTCGCGATGCAAATATACGTCTTCACCTATAGGAGATGTAAAAACATGTCAACTGCCCAACTGCCTTCATTCGGCTTCCACCCGGAGCCCAACTCCGCTGCCCTGTCCCACCCTGTCGTGACTCCGCCGCCCGCTTGCCTACCTCTGACCTTGTCGTAACTCCGCCCGCCTGTCGCCCACCGCTTGCCTCACTAGAGTAGCTATGACTGCCCCCATGGCTGCTAATTCGATTTCGGTCGCCGCTTCAAATCAAAGCTTCTTCGGCTGCCGTAATGGCTTCCATGGCACGGTCGTGGACGGGTTGGGCTTGTTCCTAACCTGCACCCATCGCAGAATGTAGGGGAGGCGCGCCACACCACCCGCCTCCACCGTTCTTCCCGCCACGCGAAGCCGGCCGCCCCTTTGATGCTCTTCCGTCGGCCCTATGCCGCTCGTTCTCTCTCCGCCTCGAATCGCCGCCCCGATTCATGACGGCGCCGTCCTGATTCAGCACCCTCGCCGCCCCGACGCCGCCGCCCTGAACCGCATCGCGCTGCCGTGCCGCCGCCCACTAGTTTTTACATCTTCATTTTTGCATCACCTATTGGAGATGCTCTTTTGCATCTCCAATAAACATCATCTGTTGAAGTTGCCTCTTATTTTAAGATGTAAAACACACTTTTTGAGATGTAAATTTTTACATGTTTTGTTTTACATCTCTAAATTTGCATCTTCTATTGGAGAAGCTCTTATCATACTGCTTTGGACGGGAACTCTAGAGGAGCAAGCACTGTACACGAACGCACGCACGCACACAAGCACGCCATCGATCTACATGGGCGCCATGAAGGCTGCGAATCCCACTGCCACTAGCCCGGACGGTGCTGGCACAGCGGCAGCAGCAACGTCGCCATTGCTGGCACGGCTGACCCGGGGCTGGGTGTCGCCGTTTTCGCCTGCGGTTTCAGGCCGTCGAGGTCATCGATTCCCGTGAAGCTATGGCTTACTGGAACTGAGCGTAGCCTTTTCTGGCCTTCTCCTCCATCGACTGATATTGCTCGCGAGCGTCTAGGCGGTTGGTTCATGAGTCAGTCTCTTCGTCCACGCTCGCTTTTTTTTTTTTGAGGGTGTCCACGCTCGCTTTCGCCTTGATTCGTCCTTGACAGGCCGACCGATGCTTTGATTCACGGTGAGCTGACTAGGGATGCAGACTGATTGATTGTCCTCTGAGGCTCTGACCCTACTTGGCTCCATCAAATGAACTAGGATTTCTAAAAGTGGTGCCTTTTAAAAAAAATCCTTGGTGTCTCTCGAGTTTCATCCACCCATGCATCGCGTGCACCCAGAGAACAAATGTTGATGCGACCGGGAGTACTGTCTGCAGCCACTCTGACGAGTTGTCTTGAGATTTATTTTTTAGAGAAGTTGTCTTAAAAAAATTTGCGGGTAAGTTGTCTTAAGATATTAACAACAGTTTAACAGAAGTACAGAACAGACAACAGTGTGGTCTGCCCCATCGGCTCTCTGTCCCCTCTTTTCCCCGTGCCGCCACGTCTCTGCCCTCCTTCCTTCGGCCGGTCGCCACCACCACCACTCCACCAGAAGATATCTGCACTTTGCCTCTCCTTGCTACAGTCCATACTTTTATCGATCATGGTTGCGATCGCTCCACACTTTCTATCATGGTCAAACTATTCCGCTTGATGGATTGGTGGTCTCCTGGCTAATGATATACTACATGAAAACCGTGATTTGTTACCAAACGTTCGCACTTTCTCTCTCATCTTCTCTCGAGTGTACGTACGTGTGGCCGGAGGTCGCATGCATTATTGGGTCGCCGTGTCGTGTGCTCGTGATCGTCGCGGCGCCGCCACCGCAATTAACAACTCTTTGTCGCGTACGTGCGCATTCCTTTGTTGGTTTCTCCCTTTTCGTTTTTTCAACAGATTATATCCTAGTTAAACTGGCCAAAATTTAGAACATCAATCTAGAGCTAGTGCCCGACTCTTCCACCCGTGCGCACTTTGTTAATTTGGACGATAATCATAGACTGACTTGGACGCTGCAACTGTACTGTATTAGTCATCCGGCCGTGCACATTGTCCTTGCAACCAGTCTACTATTGGTGAACCTTACTCACACCAACCATGTTCTCATCAAAAGAGATTAACTGCCATTTCCTTTTCTTTTTTGCGAATTAAGTGCCATTTCCTAGGCCAGCGAACAACTATAGGAGTTACAATACGGTCTTGTCAGCCTTTTGGTTGGATTATCACATCAGTTTCTCTACATCAACACTAGTGCAACTCTTGCGCCACTAGTTTTACATGCAATGAATAGCGGCTTCGCTATTTTTCAGATACAAAGAAATCATTGTTGCCCCAGTCACTTCTCTGGGGGAGGCCGGACCTCGCTGGAGAAGAAGCAACCCCACTATCTATCTTAGGGGATGGGGGATGCAGGTGATCGCCAGAATTGTTCACTGATGATGCGGGACTTAAAGTTGTGGCCAGCGATGGTCAGGACCGAGGCGGGGGGAGAGAGGAGGACGAGGGAAGGGCAAGGGGCGAGATGGCGATAGCCGCCGACCTCAAGGGGCAGAGGCAGGCGGTTAGGGCTGAGTTAGCCGGCGGCTACGTGCGGGAGAAGAAATTGGAGGTTTGAAGGTGAACAGTGCCCCAATCTGTTTTTAACCATTGGATGAAGATCTAATGGGCGAGAATGAAAGTAACTGATGCAACTATTTCTTTTAGGCACGCGACGTATAGATGGTCCCAATGAATAGTCATATCATGCATGTCATGATGCAAAATGAATAATAAATCCGGCCATAACTTTCTCAAAAGGTTCTTGTTGTAGAGACATATTATATTATCCACCAAAGTAATGACCCTTGTGCTGTCTAACTTTCTTATCCTCTAAAAAATAGTGCCGTCACCTTCGGTCATATCCCAACAAATGGAGGTACTCCCTCCGTTCCAAATTACTTGTCACAGGTATAGATGTATCTATATGTATTTTAGTTCTAGATATATCCATTTCTACGACGAGTAATTTGGAACGAAGAGAGTACAACGCATTGAGTTGATCTCAATCTATTTTTTCTTGACCATGTGTTATAATATTCCTTTTAGTTTCGGGATGATCGAGGGTGTGTTAGGATCACTACACTTGCTGGTGTGTGCTTGTCTACTACCTAGCTAAATGGAACTAAAGCATCTTTTCTTTTTACTTCTCCGTTCCTAAATATAAGTTTTTTTTAAAGATTTCAATGCAGACCACACACAGATGTATATAGACGTATTTTAGAGTGTAGATTCATTCATTTGATTTCGCATATAGTCTGTAGTGAAATCTCTAGAAAGACTTATATTCAAAAACGGAGTGAGTACTATAAAGCAAGAGGGAAATTCACTAACCATGAATCGCGGGCATCTTGCTCTTAATCATCGGATTACATGATCAACGGCCATGATTGTGTAGAACACCTTGCAACCTTAGCTTCAAAGAGTTCTTCCTTGTGCATGATTGCCTCGCGAATATACTAAATCTTACCAGAAAAATCCTTGTCCTATCATATAGTAGATTGTAGAGGCATCATGGAATCTAGCAATCGTTTCACGGGCCACTCAAACTTCAAGGACCACTACTTTAAGTTTCCATTTCTACATATACATAGAGATCAAGCTTTTTTTTTGACGCCGATAAATGCCACACGTGTGGGCGTTAGGGAGTCCGCCCACACATTTTGTGTGGTGTATAAGAGGAACAACCCACAATCCTACGTGTGGGCAAAACAATTAGCGCCCACACGCCTCTCTTTTTTCCTCCCGATCTCTCTCACACGCGTGTGTGTGGGCGAAGTTGATAACGCCCATACGTCCGTATGTCAGGCCTCGTACCTCCTGGTCCCGCATGCCACGCGTGACGGTCACCGCGCACCCGCAGTTGCCATGGTCCAGACCCTCGTTCTTGTTCGTTTAATTGCAGTTGCCATGTCGCTGAACTACGGTTGCCATGTCGGACAACTGCAGTTGCCATGGTTGCTCAACTGCAGTTGCCATGTATGGTCTGATCTAATGTAGTTGCCATGATTTCATAACTTTAGGA